GCCACACCATTCAGAACACACGGCATACTAATTTACAGCTCACCCTAACAACGACAGCCTTAACCTCTGCAATCCCGAGAAATCTAGACGATTTAAGTGTGGATCAGACTAGTGACCAATAAAGCCAATCGTACGCGAGGCGATACCACCCCATCACCACCCATCCGGTTCTAGAACTGATTTTGCTGCCGGCTAAAATCATTGCTAACCTATAAGAATTTCATTCGGCGTCAAACCGCCTCACCTTCTCAAATAAATACACGAAAAACTACGTCAAAGATACCAGCTGGTAAGGAGGAAAAGCAGATCGGCAAGATCGTCACCCGTGATGTAAGAAATGTACTACACCCGACCCAGCCCAGCAAAATCACGAAACGGACACAAGGCGATCCGAATCATGACACCGAAGCACCGAAGAAACTGGTTATTAACAACCCTTACTGTGTCAAAAGTACGGATCAAAGCAGTTCACCACTAACACCGCCGTAAGGCCCAAATTGGCGCGAAGTTCAACAACTACATCACACAAAGGGAAGAGCGATCCACTTTCGAATACGAAACTCGCGAGATGACACTGTCCAGAAGACTGAGACACAGAACCGAAATCTTTTTTTGAAAAAATGGCTTGTTGCAATAAGTGTGCGCAGGAGCGTAAGTAAATACGCTGAAGGTGGAAAAAAGGAGAGAAGGGAAGTGGAAACAACACATGGCTGTCGATGACGTGGTGGACGATCTACATTCCGCAGTAGTGATACTAGGAAAGAAAGTATAAATTAGCCTAAAATCCGACCTAACCATATCGAGAAGCCATGTTATCACATGGTACAGTAGCATGTCACAGTGAATGGATATATACACACTAACAACGCGTCTGTTTCGGGAAAACTTCGCTGGTCACAATAGATATCAGGAAACGGTATGGGATCACAGTCAGTGGGGATCTAAGGGAAGGATATCAAAGGCAATACAGACCATTGCTTGCGGTCCTTAAAAGGATATGTACAGAGAGGGAATAAAGGTAAAAAAGGGGGAACAATTTAGCATTAAAATTTTGCAGGAAATGCTGAATCAGACGGTGAATGCTCGTTGGTCATCAGTTGCGAAGTTAGGAGCCACTACTGCTATGCGTGCAAACTCTACTGTGACCCATGGTCCAATCCTTCAGCTGACAGTTGACAGAACAGTAGGCCACTCCAGGACAACAATAGTAGTGAGCCTGTTTTAGGCACCGTACACACCACGCCGATCTCTTCGCCTGAAGAATCTCCTTCTCATGCCTTTGTTCCATATCCTTAATATATTGCTCCAACTCACGGAGTCGTCTGTTAGCTATGTCACGCTCCAAGGTCAAAGCTTCAAGACGTTCCTGCATTGAACGTTGACTACG